GAGGTGTGTGCGAGGAGGACACCCAGGGCAGCAGCCTCTGAGCGCCGCACAGCCCCGGCCAGGGCGTGCCTCGTGGGGCCAGCGCACACCCACCCGCACGCCTTCACAGAGCTGGGCCTCCGGCCTCGTCCGCTGCTGCCGGGAAGCTGCCGACAGCCCAGGACAGGGCAGGGCAGCTGGGCACCACTCCCTCTGCCTCCCACCCCACAACCGGGGATGCTCCACGTGGGGGGAGAGGCTGTGCGTGCTCCCTCTGTGATTTGCCACAGTCAGACTCAGATCGTGTTATTTTGCCTGTCTTGGTGGCAGGAATGTGACCGTGTGAAAACGGATGAGCCGCTCAGTGTTCACCCTTTCGGCTTGGCTAGCCAGCGTCGCAGCCCTTGGTGCTGCCTGCCAGGCGGCTGCCAGCGGCGTGACCGAAGGATTACTCTGGGTGTAACAAAGGATGCTCTGCCAGGAGCGTGCATCGTTCGCAGAGGGGTCGTCGCCAGCATCAGCCTTGGTGGTGGGTCTGTGACAGCTCTGTGGGTCCAGCTCTGCGGAGGCTGGGGCTCCCGCGTGGGCTCGCAGCTGGTGGCTCCAGGAGGAAGAGGCTGCTCTCAGCTGCAGGGTCTCCACGAGCCCATGGAGACAAGGGTGACCTTTGCTTACAGACACCTCTGCGAACGCCCCTTGAGTGTGGGCACGAAGGGCTGGAAGTGGCACCATTCTCCTTCTTTAGCTGGGAGAAGGCAGCAAAGGTTTCTCACCCTTTTCACCCTCTCTCCATGCTGGCTCCTGTGCCCGTTTCTCGCAGAGTGGGTCTGGCTGATGGGTGGTCAGAGCACGCAGACAGATGTGGAAGTCAAGAGGTAGCAACCAGGCACTGATGAATAACAGGCATCCAGAGGCTTTTCTAGGCCAGCCTGAAAAACCCATTCACCATCACATTAAACTGCTGCATCTCACTGAATCTGATGGGGTTTGGCTTCCAACACCAGAGGTAAATTTGAATTTGTACTTTTAATCTCCCTACCATTGAAATTGTGCTTGATTTAAGCAGCTGCTGTTTGCTGGAACAGCTGTACTCATGGTGTGGTCTTTGCCAAGACTGAGATTGGCCAAAGCATCTCCACTACGGTAGTGCTGGGAATTATGCTGTTATTTAAATGCTTTGGCAGACCTGAGGCTTCACCTCCTTATTTGACATTTTTGCTGTTCTCAGCAATGTAATGAATGCGTGATGGATCATTTGCCTCTCACTTACCCAAAGGTGTTCTTTGTATCCCCTGTGCCTTCCTGTCTCTCTCTGGCTAAATCTGATCAACTCAAAAAAAAACTGAATAAAACCAACGGCAAATGAAAGGCTCCTTCCCAGGTGACCAAAAGTCAATGTTACTTCTGAGGTCACTTGCGTAGCAAGGCAGAATGGGTCTTCCTCTTGGCTAGAGCCCACTAGGACTTTACTGGCGTCTCAGTTTAAATCTGCTTTTCCCCTGGCTGCAGACACCCTCTGCCCATGGAGCTGTGGATCCAGTCCATTATCAACACAGGCTGTGTGCAGTAGACTTCCCAGCGGTCTCCACAGCCGCTTCTGATTGACTGGATAATCTCTCTCTCTTTGACCTGGTGATGGCTGTCTGGTTTGCTCCAGGACATGTGTGGGTTATGCATGTACACAGGCAAGCGGCCATCCCTGTGGCTGCTGGGAGAGCAGTGTCTCTGTTCCCCCGAGCATGCCTGAATCCAAGGCAATGGATCGCCTGTCCAGGCCACTGATTGGAATGTCCCATCTGCCTGTGGCATGCAGTGGGCATCCCAGCACTGAGCAGCTCCGTCATAGTTCAAGCCTAAAAATAAGCTCTAGATAGGTGTCTGACACTTTCTGGTCCCTCTTACAAGGGTGGTGATGAGGTGCCACAGGACTTCAGATGGTGCGGTGACCAAATCCACGGTGAGTTACAGCTCCAGCCCACCTGCACAGTCCCTCCTGGGTGGGAGCAGCCGGGTGGTCCGGGCAGTAGATCTGAAGGACCCTGCCTGCGGCCCCCATGCTTTCTAAGGGCTTGAGTCCAGACCCCGTGTCTGCAGCATGGGACAAACACTGACCCGGGGGCTCGGGACAGCTCCCACTGTTTGCTGGTGGAGTCTCCCTTTTGGAAGGTCTCATGGGAACGCTGCTGTCCCATCGCTGGCTGCTCCCTCGCTGGTATTCGACCACACTGTGTGACTGGGTTCACTGCTGGGGCGCAGCAGCCACACCGTCCCCGCTCAGCCCAGCTCCCAAGCCTTCCCGTAGATCGCATTGGATGGCTGGGTCTCCCCCCGTGGTGGTGGTGCCTCTTGGGAGGTGCAGGGGGGCACATCTGTGCTGCAGAAAGGCAGAGCGGGCAGTCCAGCACGGTCACGATGGGGCTGTACAGGCTCCCAACAGGCCCTCTCCCACCACTCCCATGGAGGGTTCTCTGGGCTGTCTGGTTTGTGGTGGGTGATGCTGGGAGATCCCCTGCCCCACTCCATCTGAGCGCTCTGGTGTTTGCCTCTGTGCCTCCACGCTGCCTGCTCCAACCTCCATGGGACCATTCCTGCACTGCTTTCATCCATCTGGCTTTTTTTCCCCCCCAGCAATTTCTAACCGAGATGTGAGTGGCACTGAATGCAGGTGTAGGTCCTGATCTCTTTGTTAACCAGTAGGGTACAGGGAAAATGCTGGCACAGCACTGCAAGCACCTCCCCAGCCCCAAAGGGAGCCTGTTCTGACCTGCACTGCACATCCTCTTCCCGGCACAGTGCCACGGCAGTAAGTACCTTCACCTCTGTGCAATGAAGATAAGCAGCCCCCTCCCCAAGTTTAGATGACTTTAGCAGTTTCTTTGCTGCCATCACATGAAGGTGCTGGGGCAATGGGAAGCTGGTTCTGGGCAAGGGCTGCAGGGACAGAGGGCTGCAGCACTCGCTGTGCAGCATGCCCTGGTTTCCTCTGCGCAGCTGGCAAGTGCAGACTGGTGCACTGCAGTACCACCACCTTCTTCCACATGCTGTGCTTGGTAGCCTGGTTTTATTGGCTCAGGTCAGGCTCTTGGCGTAGTTGCAGCAGAGAGTGTGTGTGTGCAGGGCTGGGGAGCAGGGCAGCAGCACCGCTGTGTGCTGCTAGCATGGAAACAACCAGCTGCGAAAGCACAACCCTTTGCTGTGCAGGCAGCTGCAAAGCTGGAGGGGAATTAGTCCACCAGAAGTGGTTATTTGAGTCCAGGGGGTCATTGTAGGGTGGGGGGGGGGGGAGATTGCAATGGGAAGGCCACCTTCTCCTGCTAAGTCACAGCACACTCAAGTGAGCATTGCTATGTTCTTGCTCTCCCCTTCCCCAGCCATCCCTGGTTTCTAGCAATAAGACAGCTGAGCAGTGTACAGGTCTCCATGTCTCTCTGCCTTCAGACTCACCATTCCCAGGGAAGATAGCCAGAGCACCTGCAGCGTTTGCCATCGATCCTCTGTTCTTTGCCCAGTCCTACGCTGATCGGGTCTGGGGCCAGGCACGGTACCTGTGCCAGCACCTGTACCCGGCCCCTGCACAGTGCACAGCTACCCTTGTCTCGCTACAGTGCAGGTAGCAGGAGAGGTTCACACACCCATAAATGTGTTTATCTGGAGCTCCAGCCAAGGAAACTAGCCCTGCTCCTCGCTGGGGGAAAATTAGTTGCTCCATAAATACCAGTGTACTGGCTGTCTGAAAAAAAAAAAAGAAAAATGTGAGAACTTACTTAAATGGCAAGACCATCACATCTTTAAAAATTCTCCAAAGACTTCTAAAACCATCTCTCCTGTCCCCTCGTCCTCTGTAAACAGAGGCACAGTCACAGCTTAATCACTAACAGGCAACGGGAAAAAAATCTTTAATTGCTTGATAGCAGAACTTCACAAAACCTCTAAGCCTGAACAGGCTTCCCCACCCCAGCACAACTATTCTGGCATGGCCCTTAAAGGACTGCTGCATGGACAACTTGTCCTGTCTGAGTTGCAGGCATGTAAAAATAAGTATTTCAAGGTCAAATACTTAAGGAAGAAAAAAAAAAAGTGTATTTATTTAGCACAGCTTAAATCGACACTTAATTTTTGTAAGATTTAAAAAACAATCAGGTTTTTGCATGCTTTGCAAGCTTTAGAAGGCTGTGACTCTTGGTTTGATAAACACGGCTTGATAGAAGGGCATTTCACCCAGAGGTGCCCACAGAAAACAGCCTCCAAGCTGGCCCCAGCTGGGAAGTCCCGAAGGCTGTGTCCCAGCAGCGCCGCGCAGAGCTGGTCTCTGTCACCACGCCAAGGACGGGCGCAGCTCTCACCAGGCGTTACCAGCCCGCGACGGCCAGGCCCGGCTGCAGCCAGAGACTGAACAGACAAGCGGAACAGGCTTTCACAAACGCTGGCAACACGCTCTTCTTTTGCCCGAGAAGCAGCACCAACACCCTGACACCCACAGCAGCGAGCACCGCACAGCTTCCACCCGACAGCCTGTCCCCCGCTGCAGCTGCTCCAGCCCCAGCACTGCCCGGAGTGCCGCTGCCCAGCACCAGCAGTAGCCCCGGGAAGAAAAAAGCCACGCAGCAACACGAGTTGTTTGAAGGAACAACTGGTTTTTTTTAATAAAGTGTACAAAGTAGTAAAACTCCTTACACGGGGCACTGTGACGGCTGTTACAGAGATGATTTGGGGTCCCCCGTGGGCCTCATGGTGAAACGCCAGCGAGCGTTGGCTGGAAACAAAGGACATGGACACAAGACGGACCCACCTGCCCCTACCAGCTCCCGTGAACCGGCCCTCCCCGTCCCACGCCGCGCGGCCGGCCGGCCCCCACCACTTCGCCTGCCTGGCCGGTGGGCCCACGCCGGGTCCTTGCCGCTGTCCCACATTGCGGCATGCCGCACGCTTTCCACACGAATAACACACTGAACCGAGCGACCTGTCTGAGCAGCATGCATACAGAAAGGAAGAGGAAAAACACAACCCGACCGAACCCACAACAACAACAACAGAATTTTAAGGCTATGCATAAAACAAAATGAAGCAATATCTTTAAAGCTAGGTAGCAAGTAGCATTTGTGAAACATAAGGCTTGAGGCTTATTGATTCTTCAGAACAGGTTTATTTGCTTTTCCTTCTTAAACACCAATGTACCATTTTTCTTCCTTCGCTTGAACAGGATTCTGTTTCCTTCTCGGCAGGGACGTTTAACTCAGGGAGGTGATGTTGGAGCGGCCTCCCGGAGGCGCAACGATGCGCTTGCTCGCTGAGCGAACACCTTCATCAACCTGGGTACCTGGGAGAGGACAAGAAAGCACAAAGGGAAGGGGAAAAGCCAAGTTAAGAGCATTTTCTTCACAGGACTGAGCAGTCAGGCAGCCTGCGGTCTCCCCGAGGGCCTCCCGAGGCTGGCTGCAGCAACCTGCTCCCTCTCCAACTCCAGTAATGACTCTGAGAGCATCAGTGGCTTGAACACCTCTGTAGACACTCCTCCGTGTACAGACCCAAGCAGCAAGAGCAGGGTCTGATGCTGTGCTGGCACCTCCATGGCTGCAGTGCTCCTTGCTTCTACTGCAAGGTGCAGCGGGGTAGAGGGCTCGCTCCGTCCATGTCCTTCAAAGGACACACTAAGTCTCACCCTGCCATGCTCTGCTCTCATGCTCAGCGTGCCCCATGCCCCCTCCCAGCTGCCCCCCGCCCAGCAGGGGGCTGAGACAGTGTGGCGAGGGGCTCTGTGCTCACCCAGCCCAGCCGCCACAAGCGCTCACCCGACAGGCTGAATCCAGACTGGTGGAGGTTCCTGACCGGGGGTGCCTGCCGCGTCGGGGAGCCCCTGGTTGACCCCGCAGGGGTGCCCCCCTTGGGCGTGGTGGTCAGGTCAAACACGGGTCCGTCATACATGCCCCGGGGCACGGCGTGCATCTCCCCCATCTGTCACCGGAGAGAAGAGGACAGTGACAGTCTCTGCTCCCAGGGAGCACCCCGCCATGGCAGCATCATGCTCCGGCGAGCCTTGGCTCCCCAGTCCCACCGCAGAGGCAATTCACGCTGCCTGCTCCGTGCCCCTCCGTCCTGCACGCCCAAGACCTCCCTGCAGCGTCGAGGCCTGGCTCAGACCCACCACCCACCTCCTGCACAATGGCTTCCCCTCACTCCCACCCTGCAAAGTGTGCAGAGCCCAGTGCACAGGTTTACGCTGCACAGATGGGGAAGGAGAAGGACATTTTGCCCAACCTCCTCATTTTTAACTCGGCACTTGCCTCCAGACTCCTGCAACACCAGGACAGCAACAAGCGCAGGCATCACCCAGTGCTGATCCAGGTGAGCATCTGCGTCCAGTGGTGCACATCACCAACACTAAGGTCAAAGCTCCCTACCCAAGCCTTAAGTATCCCAACTGTAGGCTCAAAATACAGCAGTTTGCAGCACTGTTTCCACAGTCCAGCGAGAACAGCAGAGGAAAACAAAAAACTTATTAGGGAAAAGGGTAATTTGGGCTAACAGTGTCCCAAATCTGTCTCCTGGCATCCCCATCTCCTCACCTTCCTCCTGGCTTTGATGCGCTTGTAGACATAGTCAGGGAATGGGCTGCTGGGCAGGAAGCGTCCAGTCCCCTGGGTCACATGCAGGTTGCCATCCTCCAGCACGATCTTCCCCTGGCATATGACAACCAGCGGGGCCCCACGTAGCTCCATCCCTTCAAAAATGTTGTATTCAGCTGCCTGCAGCAACCAGAGGATGATGGTCAGGAGGGACATGAGCACTGCCTGCCCACTCAGGGCTGTTTAGTCCCCACACCTTGCTGCTGCAGCCACCGGTGCAGGCAGAGGACACCTGCCTGCCGCCAAGGCCTTCTTTAGTTCACAAGTCCATCATACTGAGAACCCACCAGAGCTCCCTACATCACCCAGGACCTGCTGCTTCGGAGCTCAGTGTGAGCAAGGACTCCAGCATCAGAGGAGGGCCGGACCCAGGCGTGAGGTAGGGCATGAACAAAGCATGCTGGCAAAGTGAGGAAAAATTTGTACCTGGAAGAACCACCCAGACAAGGAGAAATGTGTGTCCTCACATTTGTGTGGGTCAGGCTCAGGAAAGCAACAGAGCAGGGTGAGAAAAGCCCCGCGCACAGAGCCCAGGGCTCACAGACATCCTACCCCACAGCCACCACTGGCATGGCCCGGAGCCTGGACCCAGTGCCTGCTCCTCAGAGCCCAGCGCGGCAGGGCAGTGCCGAGCTCCCAGCAGCCAGGCAGACTTTACACAGTGCTACTCGCTCCCCGCCCCCCCGCTTTCCCACAGACGAGCAGAGGGCTTACAGACTGGTGGGTTTTTGCTGTGACGATCTTCACTGCATCAGGATCCCATATAACCAGATCGCTGTCCGAGCCCACTGCTATTCGCCCTTTCCGTGGGTACAGGTTGAAGATTTTTGCAGCATTAGTGCTTGTCACAGCCACAAACTGGTTTTCATCCATCTTTCCTGTGGCCTGCTCAGACACAGAGAGAACTAAGTGCCCTTTTGGGGAAAGGGAGAGTAAGAGCCCCAGGAAGCAACAGACTCACTCCCACACAAGCCACTGATCTTGCTATGGGCACCAGACAGACCGAAAACCTGGGGCACAGCCACAGCTTGTGGCTGTGCACCCCAAACCCATGACGCTGCCTCTCCTGCTCTGGCTTGTTTTGGCTCTCGAAGCCAGCGAGGAGACGGGCAGCCCGGTGCTCAGCTCTGCGGGGGCGAGAACACGGGTGTCCAAGCTGCCTGCCAACCCTGCCCGCTTGGCCCTCCCTGGCGCGACTCTTACCACCGCCTTGTCCCAGATGACAGACATTCGCTCCTCTATGCCGTTGGTGCCTTCTGGGATCGCCGTGAAGTTGTCCTTCCCAATTGCTTTCTGTGCGGTACTGAAGGTACAGTGGGCACTCCCTGAAACCTGCAGGTCACCGCTGCGGGGTGGTGGTAACAAAAGCACCATCAGCTGTTTCACAGACAGACGGCAGCAGGGACACGAGGGACACGACCTCCTCCGGGCACAGGCGGCCCCCGGTCCAGCTCTGTTTTACTCTGCACCCCCATTTCTATGGCCCTGTCTGAAGGCTTCCACCCGACCCTGCGGCAGCCACCTCACCGGGGACACGGGGGCAAGAGAGCTGTGCCACGCTGTGCCCCTGCTCGGGGCACTGACAGCACCCTGTGCACCAGGGGAGCCAACTGCTCAGCTCCCGGGGAGCAGCGTGGCCTTCACGTCATGCCAAAAGATGTCCTCCCGTACGAGACACCAACTTTTGCACTAACACAAAAGTAAAAGACATCTCGGGGTCTGCCTGGGAGAGCAGCCCTTGCACCACACGGGGAGGGAGAGGCCTCCCCACCCCAGGATGGTCCCCCACAGCCAGCCCCCGGGTGTACTGCCAGCCCCTGCACCCCGCGGGGCAAGCGCAGCCCTCCCCAGCCCCACGGGACCCAGCTGCAGGCAGTGCCGCCCCGGTCTCTGGGGACACGGCTGCCAGAGGGGGGGTACGGGCGGGCAGAGGCCGTT